CGCCGAGCTGCTCACCGATCTTAACAAAAACAGCCATATTGTGGCGTAGATGCAACGGGTTAATTAGTAGCTGTAGAAGTCAATTGTGCTAAATGAAACACGGAATGTTAATCATCCTAGCAATTATCCATAGATATAGCTAGATTAAGGTGGGTTGATTTTTTTTTTTTTTTGACAAATGAGAGAAAATTCATTTTTGTCAGGTTAAAGAAAAAGTGGTTTTATTATAATAAACAAAATCCTTTCGAATTATCAACTACCATATTAATACAATCTTAAGCATGTTTTCGAGATTCAAATCAAAAATCAGTAGTACAAATATATTTCTATATCAGAAATATTTGTCTTAAAGAGTGAGGAACATTTAAATCAACTATCTATTTCCCGCCACTTAAGATTCTTATTGAGAAAAGTCAACCCACCATAAGCTAGATATAAACTTATCTGCGTGTATATTCCATATAGTGTGTATCCATTTACAACGAAGTCAGAGCGAGTGCAAAAAATGCATCAGAGATTGTTGTGTGATTTTATGTAATATGCTTGAATTTAAATTTAGTTTCTAGTTTACGCATAGGAGAACGATTGGATTCAATACGATACGCTTCAGCATCATCATTTCGTTGCGGTAGTTATTGCATAAGCTTACATTTTAACGAACTACCGACTACCTATAAAGATAAGCATAGACACCCATACAACCAATCGGTATTTTGATAAGAACAAACCAAACACACGAGCCAACGTCTAGAGAAAACTTGAAATTGCAAAACGAAAGATAGTAAAATAAATGAATAATTTTTAGATAAGTACTAAAGGAGACGCCTTTGATTTGTGTAGTTCTTCTGATATGGATTTCCCCATTTGAATTGGAACCTTAAATACTCTTCAAAAGTTGCATTTATTATTTTGTATTTTGTTTATTATCCACCTCCAATCGATTTCATATTTTGAGTACGAATTTATTTACCTTAAAATAATTGAATTGCATGCATAGTTACTATAAATTATGAAAACGGAAACTATGGAAATAATTTGTCAATATTAATAAATATATATTGTTTATTTTTTTGTATTTAAATATTGATTTTCTTTTTCAAAGAAACCTCCATAGCATTAAGCTATTGTTCTTAAGTTTGAGTAATTATTTAACGGATTATGCATTTTTCAGATGGTGTTATAAAAACCTTTGGAATATGCAGAAGACGATTTTTTGAAAGTTTTAACTTGGTCAAGCCGAAGGACCTGTTGCATGTCTCACTATACTTTTCTCTACCTTAAACCCCTGGAGGCATTGTTTTCCCATTAACCAAACGTATGTATGCTGAATTTAGTGCCATATCTATTTCAACACGGTTCAAGTTTCCTTTCTTTTTGAAGTCAGTAAAATATGGTTTACTTCTTGTTCAACTTTTCAGATTTCTCTAAAATCCTTAACAATTTATGAATGTGTCATAAAAACCCATTGAGTTGTAATGAAGTCATGTGCTTTAAAGACTTCACTCGTTCGAGAGTAACTAACTATATATAACTGAAGGCCCTGTTGCATGTCCTATTATAATTTTCCCTACCTAAAACTCTCTCCAGGGACTTGTTAGTTTTCCGTTTACTAAACGCACGTATTTAATGTCTGTTTCCGGCCTTAGTTTCAGTTTAATTCCCAATCAACATGGTTCAAGTCAACCTTCTCCGGATTTATTTTGAAGTGAGTCGCCTGATAGGCCTGTGCAATCTGCACTTCGATGCCCGGAGCCAGAGATTCATCCTGAACCATGTGCCCACCGTGATCTACTGCATCGTCCTGAATGTGGCCTACCTTTTGATCCTGCCGTTTGCCCTTGCCCTGCTGACCGGCGATATTTACGAGTGCCCAAATGTGGGAATGTTCGGAGTGGTCTACAATGTGGTGGCTCTGACCAAACTCCTGGCCATGTTGCTCCTGGTCATCCATGTTTGGACACAGCGACGTCGGTTGCAGATGCTGGGAAATGATATCTTGGAAATGCTGCATAAATTCCGCTTTGCCCTGGGAAACGATTGCAGGAAAAGATGTCTGTGGAAGGTTTTGCTGACGAGTTCCCGGTTTGTGCTCCTCACCCAGCAGCTCGTGTTCCGGGATTCCCTTGTTCGATGTGAGGCGGACTCTAGTTTTAGGAGAGCCATGCTTCCCTATCACCTGGCTGCCATTGTTTACGCTTTAATCCTGCTCCTACTGGCGAGCTATGTGGACTTGACGGTCTACATGATGCAGGTGGCCGGGAACTGGCTGCTGGCAAACATTTCCCAGGAGGTTCAGGAAATGCTCCAGGACCTGAAGGCCTTGCCCAACAGAAGGGGTGTTCCTCGAGAGATGTGCCAAAGGCAAATTCTGCCCGCATGGCGAAAACTTTGGAGACGCTGCCTCCATTTGGATGGGCTTCTCAAGCAGACCGTGGAGGTCTTCCAATGGCAGATACTTATCAATTTGCTTACCATTTATATTTTCAACATAGCAATCTTGTTTCGACTGTGGACTTACCTGACCTTCGACAACGATTTTAATATATGGAAGGGAATCGTATATGTTGTTCTATTTCTTACCCACCACGCTGAGATCACAATGCAGTTTTCGGTTTTTGAGATTAATCGTTCGAAGTGGTTGGAGCTCCTCGACCGCGTGGGAAAACTTTGGTTAGCGAATTTTTCGGGAAGCAAATACAAAAACAGCTATGGAATTATCCTGTCAAGACAGGTAATTATCTAAGTTTTCTTTGATTAAATCCTAACATGTTTTTAATGTAGTTGGAGATTTCCATTTTGTTCCTGAACCGGAAACTGCATCTCCATCCCAAACGTGTAAGACATCTTCACATCGCTGGATTGTTCGACCTGAGTAACTCATCCGTTTTTGAGATGTCCAGATCTATAATAACCCATGTTTTGGTCCTCTGTCAGATTGCCTATAAGATATATGGCTGAGAACGAATATGACTTTGACTTTCTGTAAATTTGTACCTATACCTACATTTCGAAACGAAACCTATTTTGTGTGTGCATTAGTAAGTTATAAATGTAGAATTTAAAATTTAAATATTATAATATTACATGAACTGTAAAATTACCTACTATATTACATATATATATATATATATTACATGAATTGTAAAATGGTACACATTTGTAATAGTTTTTATAGCGTTTCCTGCTGAAATGGCTTAGAATCAGTAAAAGCTCCGTTTTGGAGATTTTTCAGAAGTTATCCGCTGGCAAACAAAGCTGCAAGACCAAAAAAGCTTTTTTTCGAATTTTACTTGTTATAAAGCTTCAAGTCCTGAAAGCTCTGATGTGCCATACATTTTGAAGGAATAAGCTAAAGTCCTGAAAGGTGGTGAAAAATGAATTTAAAAACTTTATTTTGATATCACACCATGTAGAAATGTAGTTAAAATGTAATTTAATCCCTTCGGAATATTTAGGTAACATTGATTGAAGTTCAAATTCGATTAAAATGGATTATCCCCTTACACCTGCGTTTTGCTCCCGATCAAATGAGTCAGGTACTAACCATGGCTGTTTGGCTGTTGTTGCCGCCTTAAATCGAATTGCATAAGGATAATGACGTTGCTCAGGATGGATCCAAAATAGCCGAGGCCAGCGGGTTTGTCTAGCTGCACAAGTCCGCAGATTTTATATTCCAAGTGATTGCGCCTTGTCTGCACGCTAAAAGCATCCAACTGCAATGCAAATCGTTCAAGTTGTTTAGATGACATTTTATTAAATTAACTGACTCACCTCCCTTTTAAGCTTTTTGCTCACACTTGGAAGATCGCTGAACTGCTTCAGCTGCTGACCAGTGTTGTTGCAGGAGCTGATCACTCCATCCAGCATATTCATCAGCATCATGGTGCCCCAGAGGTTGAAAACAATCAATCCGTTGCCAAAAGTCTTGCCCCAACCATCGGATTTGATGGTGTTATTGCTGTACTGGACAGCATGATAAAATATGTTCAATGTGGACATGAACATGTTAACAAACACTGTGGCATTGGCAATATCGAACAGGCTAAAGACTCTCCTGGCCAACTGAAGGGTTTCCCTGTGCATAAGAGCAATGGAGCGCAGTGACTTCCATTTCCTACCGCCTTTCCTACCGCCTCTTCCCTCATGAAGAACGCTTAGGGCCAGATGGATTACCCTAAATTGATGATCCAGCAGTATGAGCAAGGCATAGAAACCCATTTTGACCGCTATGAATTGCAGAAACTGCGTGAGCCTGGTACTGAGAACCAGTACGGAATGTTTGTTGATCACACCCAGCAATTGATACTGTACCGCGGTGGAGAACATAAATCCCACATAGAGCACCATTATCTTCTGCCACAGCTTCCTGGCCAGCGAAAGTTGTAGCTCTTTGAGCTCTTGTCCACTCACTATGGCCTTCATTATGCTGCTAAACCTCTTCCAATAAATCAGCGAATCCTTGTAGAGCTGAATGATTTGGCGGCGTTTCAACCACATGGTTCCATAGCAGCCCAAAATAGCCAACACTCGCAAGCCGACCATGGCAAAAAAATTCCACTGCAGTACTATGTTGTATTTTATATACCCATCTAGTACGCCCTTAGGTATGATGAAGTAAATGTTGAGAAACAAGCCGATGCTTATGAATGCACTGTAAATCAGGTAAATCGAAGAAATCTTATGCAAACGAATGATTTTCCCGTGGGAGCGCATCCCCAAAGTAGTGCCCATCAGGGCAAAGACTAAGGAATGGTAGTAGACCAAGCTCAGCACGCGACCCAGTTTCGGATGCAACATGTTGGAGTTAAGGTCACTAGGTAACTGGCCAAGTGCCGAACTCGGAAAGGCAGTAATTAGGTGAAAGTTTAACGCAAAAGCGATGAGTTGGCCGGCTATCCGATTTCCACGGGATAGCGGAGCTTCCATCGATTGCGGTCCGTTGACTGTTGACAGTTGGACAGTTGACAGTCGTCCTTCGCCGATACCAGTGGCTGTCGGTCATGCTGCTGAAATCCTTCTACGCATTTGGATTAGTTTGCGGTCTTGTGCCTGCGCCCCTGGGAAAAGTGAGGTTTCTTCGGGGATGTTCGCAGAGATGGTACCTCCTATACACGGCCTGCCTGCACGGAGTCCTCCTGATCCTGCTGCCCTTCACCTTCCCCCAGTTCCTGCACAAAGAAAGCAACATAGGCAACAATATGGTTCTTCAATGGACCTTTACCTTAACCAGTATCACCCGCGTACTGGCCATGTTATCGGGTGGTCTAATGATGTGGCTAAGAAGGAAAAAGCTCCTGAGATTAAGTGAAAACCTTTTAAATCACTGCCTAAAGTGCAGAATGCTTGATGATCGTACCACCAAGTACACCACCTTGTGGAAGAAAATTCGAGGACTACTTACCCAGACATTGATTGTCGTGTTTCTCACCATTTCTGTGGCTGCCTTAATTTTGCAGAAAATCGATACATATCACTCTTTTATCAATGTATCAATGATTGTGGTGCACGTCACCCAATTTATATACGTGGTCATCATGATGGCCGGGGTATATGTGATCCTCTTAGTCCTCCACTGGCAAAGTGAACTGGTTTATGTTGCTCTAAAAGATCTCTGTGTGCTTCTCAACCACGAAGAGCGGAACTCCTTGGTGCTGGCGGAAACTAAAGCGAAAAAGTCTCTGGCCATCCTGCATAACCTACGTCAGCTTTATGCCGAAAATCGGCGACTCATTCGTGAAGTTTTTGGAACCTTTGACATTCCAATTGCCTTTATGTTGCTTAAAATGTTTGTTACAAATATAAATCTGGTTTACCATGGCGTGCAATTTGGAAATGCATCCATAGAAACCTCTAGATACACGAAAATACTGGGACAATTTGTTGTAATTTCCCATTATTGGTATGCAATTCTGCTGATGAATGTTGTGGATGATGTGACCCGTGGAAGTATTCTCAAAATGGGAAGCCTCTTGCGAGAATTTAGTCATCTGGAACTGGTGAAAAGAGACTTTCAAGTGCAGGTAGTACTTTACAATATTAATATACTTCAAGTTGACTATGTTTCTTTACAGCTGGAAATCTTTTCCGATCACTTGCGTTGTCATCCTGCAGCCTATAAGGTTTGCGGTCTATTTATTATCAATAGACAAACGAGTTTGGTTTATTTTTTCTACGTCCTGGTTCAAGTTTTAGTGCTTGTGCAATTTGATTTAAAGAATAAAGTTGAAGATACACATTAAAGGCAAGAGCAGTTTATTTGGATTACAAATTAAAAAGTGTTTAACAATAAACATTTAAAAAGCGACACTAACAAAATGTGTGTAAAATGTTGACTACATTAAAAACATATTAAATTATACAGATATTTTAATCGATATTAAGACTTTTTTGTTTTAACTTGATTTATTAGGTTATTCCTTAAGTTATTGATTTGCTTTCTTCTTTTTTCCCTATTTTACAGACTTAATTCGCTTTCAAATACTTCCTATAATTTCAAGAAGAAGCTTTAAAAAGTTCTATAAATATAAATTTCTCAATCGTCAGTTAGTCAGAAAGTCTCCACTTTACCTGGTAAAAAAAAGGATACACATGCGATGTTGATAAATATAAAGAATAATTTTACTATCGAGCCTAGGAATGTCTGACTTTGGCGTCTTTAATTGCTCACAACATACCATAACTGTTATTAAATATTAAAATCCATTAATCAAATGTGTTTTCCGCCGCTGTGTTGCAACAACAAAACCAACAAAAGCGTTTCGCAGGGAGCAGGTGAAGAATAAGAAGAAGAAAATGATTATAAGGGAAGGCAAGGTGGCACGTTGATTATACAAACGAACGTATGTACATAAATCAATACATATGTGCATCTTTGGGTTGCCAAAAATAATAGTATATTTACCCGCCCTCAAGCACTAACCAATTATGCAACCTAGATAATTTCAATAAGTCCATCAACTCCCTACAAATATACACAAAGTCACAGCACACGCGCGCACTGAGAAAAAATATTAATAGCTCTGGTCGGCATTTGTGTTAAGATTTTGTCATATATGTATAATATATTCCAGCTATATTTGCAACATAAATTACTTTACAAAGTTATTGATTGATATATAATTATCCCTTAAGCTCAACAATGACTCGACATATTTTTTGAAAAAAAGTTTTATTAAATAAATAAACAACAAGGGTCAGCACTATAAATAAAGTAGATAACAAAAACGGAAAGATCACTGGGTAATGATTACTGTATTGAATAAGAAAAAAATTGTTTTTAACCACAAGACTACATACATAACACCACTAAGTAGTTTCATGACATAAAAAAGACATTTTTTCTTTATAAATATGAAAATCACATCACTGACAAAAAACAAAAATATTGTTTTATGTTTATACAATTTTTAATTGGACAACATCCATTTAAAAACTTAAAGTTAATTAAACATTTTGAATGTACATAATTTCATAGAATTTTTCATTTAAAATTTTAAAATAATATTGTTAATATTTGAGAGTCACACTTTAATTAAAGCTCAAGCCTAACAGTGTTCATATTTTGATATTCAGAAACGGATTAAAATGTGGTTAGGCAATTCTTTCTGTTTAGAGACTCCATGTAGTGAAGCCTCTTTGTCGGCCAACAAATCAAATTTAATCAAGCTCTTAGGAAGTCAGGCCCCTCGAGCAGGATTTGGCCATTAAATCTGGCTGCGGGGAACAAATTACCCGATTGCTTAACCCACTCTCGCCGCCTTGGTTTGCCTTTAACCCCCTCTTGCAGTTCGATATGCCTCGGCAGCTTTTTGTATTAATTCCAATTATACGCACGACTGGGGAATTTTCATTTGGACTGAAAGGATTTCGGGTCATTATGAGCTCCTACTTCATTATTCTTCCTTCACATCTGCCACTCCTGCCACTCCTTCATCCTCTGACTGTATTGTTTTTGGCTCTGAACTAGTTAAGGCCCGCCCCCGGGGAAGATGGGGCGGGATGGGGTTAATTGGCCAAGGCCTTGTGTATCGATTGCAAACTATGCTTGCGATTGCGATTGTGACATGGCCGAAACCACAAATCGAGAGCAAACAAGATTTCTTTTGGTAACTAATTAGCAAACTGGGTTGGTTTATTCTGCAAACACTCCGCTTTTCCTCCTCCTTTGGGCCGCTTTAATTAACCCTTTGACGGCAATAAACAGAGATGAAAATTATTAAAATGGCCAAAAATATGGTCGGTATAATTGCAATTTACTTGCAACTTTGCAACGCGGAAAGACCCACAGTGGAATTTCCTTAAGTAAATTTTCATTTGCCAAAAGAATGTTTGATAACCTAAAGCTAAAGAGTAGTTCAATGTTTGTGTTTGCTTTGCTTTCAATCAATTTGGTTAACTAGATATCTCAACTTAAATTAGTAACATACAAATAGTACATTTTTTTGGAAAGCAAAAAGCTATAGATGTACAACTGTAATTAGATTTTAACGATGTCATTTGAGTGCCTTTAAAGCGAAAATTAGTTACGGTCAGACAGGACCCCCATTTGAATTTAGAAAACTCCATTGCAGTCCAGTGAGTCGGATGAAAATTTGAATATTTCGTGCATCCCTAGTTTTTGCATGCCCTTAAAATGCAATTAATTTGTTATAAAGTTTTGGCAATAGTTTCGGACTAAGCGCCCGCTCAACATTGAGTCCTCCAAATGGACATGGACAAGTTTTCGAAGGGTTGCCGGGGATTTGGGGGTCGGAAAAACAGTTATCAACACCGGGAATAGCGGGGCAGTCGAGGGTGGGGAACCACACAAATGTGGGTCAAGTTATTTTCAACACTTAAAATAAACTCTCCTGCCTTGGCTCCTTGCTCTATGCCAAAATGTTGGGCAGCATTTTCTTTTGCCGCCCATTTTCTGGGTCAGTCAGCCTCAGTCAGCCTCAGCCCACCCCCCTCCCCCTTCCTCACAAAACATTTTCCACCCAACCCTCTTTGTCATCGCCGTCGCCTCTGCGCATAAATATAAATTGTATTGTTTCAAAAAAGTTTTCCCACTGAGTTTCTGCGGCCAGCGGAAAAAGTAGTTAAAGTTTTGTTTTCGCCGCTAGTTTATTGCGTGATTTCCTTCGCAATGACAGGCGGTGGGCAGTTGGGTGGTTGGGTGGTTTTGGATGGTTTTGAATGGTTTCGGATGGTGGGTGGTGCGGTCTGAGCGCCCGGTGATAACTGCAAGGCGAAGGTGGCGAGAAAACGTTTTGCCACATAATTCACAGTTTCTGGCAGTGCATTTGTGCGGCTTTTAACAAGTTGTGGCTTTCTTTTGGGAAATACAAAATGAAATGGAAACAGAAAACTGAAAACTGAAAACCGGAGAAGGCTGCGGAACACTCATTATATAAGCGGATTTCGAAAAATTGAGGAAAACCTTGATTGTGTTGAAAGGAAATAATTGGAGTGGGATAACATTTGAAATTGTTTTTTTGATTATCTCTGACTTCTGAAGTTCTTGGATTTAGAAGTTTGTACCAGCAAGTTGAATATTTGTAATTATATCTTTAAATGTAGAACAATTAAATCAGCTGAGAAGGAATTATGTGTAAAAAATCTTAAAAACTTGCAAGCAAAATAAGTAAAAGTAATTTACATTGTCGATTTAACTTTAAATGTTAGAATCACAACTACCTTGTCTGCTTTAAATCGGTAATCAAAACTAAAATGGTAATCAAATACTAAGCTGAATTGCAAGATTTTTGGTGATTTTTTTCAGCCCCAAACAAACCGAACAGCAGCTGGTTGCAATTGCACGCATTTGGGTAATGGCACCACCTTCGACTGCACTTCAACTTTAAGAGTGCTTGAGGCAAGTTCACAATTCCGCCAATGCAAGTAACCGTTATGCACGTACCGCCGCGTGACCAGAACTCAAGGGTGGAGGGTGGAGGGTGGCGGGTGGCGATGATGGTCGGTGGGCGGTGGGCGTGGCCATTTCCACAGATCGGTGCTTTCCCAGTCGAGTCCTATGGTCTGGCAATTCTAATTGCATTTTTACTTAGTTCGGAGTCAAAAAGTTTCCGCTTCTTGGGGAAAGCGCGGGAAGGGGGGAGGGGGTGGAAAATGGCAGAGGGGCACCTCCGTGCGTAAAGTTTAATTAAACGTGTTTGATTTATGACTTGTTGGGCATTCGGCTTCTGACGGCAGCTGCAACCGCAATTCCAATTCGGAAAACCTAATGCGTTTATTTTGGGTCGGTTCGCCGGGGCGAAAGTTTGCCTCTCCTCCACGCTTTTCCACGCTTTTCCTTGATTTTCTGCGCTTTCCCACGCTGGACATAAAAGCCAAGCACCTTTATGGCATCTGCAGCTGTGTGCGGGTGTTAGACTGCCGTGTGCCATATGATTTCCGTTTCCGCTTCCGTTTCAACACACAATTTCTAGCACCTTGCAAACGCCGCATCTTTGGCCGCGTTCCATTAAGCGTTTATTGTTTTCGTGGCCATTAAAGTTGCATTTTCGCACGAGAACTCCAACAAGTTCATCATCAAATTTGTGTCCCAAACAGCAGGTACGAGGCATAGACGAAGGCGAAGGCCAATCTAGGCGCAAATCCCTGGGCTTAGGATTTTGGGGCCGCAAATCAGGTCAGGCCACAAGCACAAATCTCTGGCTCAATCCATGCTGAAAAATATTCCACGATAATCAACTTTGATACACGTTTGTAGAGCCAGTGCCACAGAGCCACAGCCTTCGTTTTTGCCTTGTAGGCTTTTCCGCCCTGCAATGCCCTGCCATGCATTAAAATGCCGAAAATGATTGGGAAAATCGCAAAAGAAATCCGGAAAAGGCAGACGCACAAATCTCCGCCTAGCATCGGGGCCAAGGCGATGGCGAAAGTCCCGCTGTCCCTTATCCATATTTTTTATGACCAGGGAGGAAAATGGAAAAAGTTTATGTTAAAGCCACTCTCGCCCTCGTCGATGAACTGTGTGGATAATCGCGAGGCCTGTTCCTGCCCATTTCCACTGGCTTAGTCTGGCCCTTTTGCTGCGGTTGTGTTTGTGGGTGGTATTTGGTATTTGGTGTTGCCAAGATGTTGGCCGAGTTAATGCGGTCCCAGGAGCTGGGTGAAAGGTAAATGGAAGTGCCTGACCTGTGATTGGGTTGCAACTAGATCGAACATAGAACTCGTATTTAACTGAATACTACACTTTTACAACTTACTAGTAAATGTATATATCTGACTATTGGATTCTAAATTTCATACTTAATATTGCTATTAAGGTATCGCTAAATGAATAAGAGTTAGGAGACCTTAGGAAAATTGATTGGCTGAGGAGAAAGAGCAGTGAAACTGACATACTAAACATTTTTTTAAGTGGAGTTCCTGAGCCTGGCTTAGTAAAATATTACACATTCTTAACACAGTTGAAATTTTATTTAAAATACGCGTCGAATGACACCAAATTTGCTTCACGCTGAGATAAAAAATGCCTGTGTAGGCAAAGCGGTCCGAATGGAAGCACTTAAATAGTGTATTTATTTAGTCGAATGCTCATTCATCATTCATATATCAGATATTTTATATGTAGGTGCGCTCGTTACAACTTTATTACCTCGTTAAGAGGTTTTTTTGATTGATATGATTTTAAACTAAATATTCAGATGTTAAATTAAACTCCGAAAATAGTCAAATGAAAAATTTAAAAAAGTTATAAATAACTAAAAACTGCAATGGATGAAAATGAATGGAAAAATATTTAAACTGAGTTCAAAATATTTGGATTAACTACTTTTTATTTTAACAGTGTGACAGAGACTTGTTTGAGTTGAACAAAAATTAAAGCTTGTGTCTTAATTTTACATGCGCACTTTCCTAAACCGAATAATTTCTTAAACTCTGTGAACTTATCCAAATTAAGGTGCCACAGATTCTTGCGATTTTTGAGTGAGTCCAATTTTTTAATAAATCAATACGTTATCATCCTAAAAATATCCCAGCTCTTTTAGTTTTCGAGGGCGAACATGGCTGAACCGAAACAGCGTATGATATTTGGTTCAAAATATATAGAAAAATATTATTCCAATCAAAACTTTTTAACAATATAGCCTTTTACTCATAGGGTAACGGACACATACCATGAAACCGACTAAATTTTTACCAATATATAATAAATTTGTACAATTGATATTCGAACCCATAATAAGACTTTAATTGCCATTATCAAATTTTATATTTCTCGCCATATGCTATTTTCCAATAATTCATGGATACAAAGTATCCGCGTTAGCCCATTTAATAAAGCGCAATCAGTGCCGAGTGCTGAACAAAAAAAAAACAAAAAATGTCCTGCCTAACTGAATATACATTCCCTGCGTGGACAACTTTTGCAATTGCTTTTGTCACAACACGCTAATTGGTGCGCTCAAGGATAAATGCACAAAGAGGCCAAAACATCAAATGCAGAAATACAAGTCAAACTGACAAAACACAACTAACAGTTCGCAGTCGAGTTCATCTATAATCCAGTACAAAATGATTTCATAAGTGGGGATTTATGGGAACACGGTGGAAAAAAATTAAATATATTTCACTTATGGAAACGTTTCGTTTTTTGCGCAAATGAAATTTTACATTTAACATGACCAATTAATGTGTGGCAAAGCCGCAAATAAAACCGCTTAATTACGTGACACGGCCAAAGGGCAGGCGAGCCGGGCACCAACAAAGGCAATCGCGGCTGCAGAAATTTGCATGACACGCATCGAAATGAAATAATAATATGGTTAATAAAGCCAGCCGCATCTGATTCATTCACTACGCCGCCACAACCAGCCCAGATGTTCGCCCACATCGCTCCGCCCAACTCACTTCACATTATATCCCGGCCAGAATTCCGAGTCCGGAATCCGGACTCCGGTTCGGGTCCAATTATCGCACTTATTTCGCTGCTAATTAAAATGCAATTATTTGCTTTAAACAACATAATCCCATTGACAGGGACAGGCATTTCGTTTTATTTGCATATCGGTAAGGCTATCGAGGTAACACTCTCCGATGGGCATTTCTCTATGCGGTGATGTGGGAAAACGCTTAAGGGATATAACCATTGATCTGATTGGTTCTTGATTCCTGGTTAATGTAGGTCACAAATAGGTAGGTTATTAGTCTATGCAGCTTTCATGCAAATGCTTATGTATCATACGATTAGAAACTTAAGGCCTCTTTATGTTTTCTCTTTCGAGTTCTAACTTAATATGTGTATGCTTTGCTTCAAAGCTTAGATACAGATCAAAATTGATAAATTGACAATCAAATCTAAGTTCGGAATATATATAGTCACTTGTATACTTTAAATCGCTTAAACACCAATAAAAAGGCTAAAAAGACCAACTAAGAAATTTTCCCTTTACCTTTACTTTGAGCTTAATGGGTGAAATAGATTTTTGTTTCTTGGCGAATTTTATGTTTAAACCTTTATCATTGTAAATATAGTAATGTTAAAATAATGCAATATATTTTAAACGGAATTCATTTTTTTCTGTAAATATTTGTCTTTATTCAACAACTGTAAAGTTCATTTATAAAGATAAATCAAATTTATCATTTTGAATATAAATATTTAATAATCCCCCTCCCAATAAGCTTGGTTTGTAAAGTGATGTCTCATCATAATCATTGGTGTAATCAGTCTGTGGAGCTCTCTTCGTCATCCTCGGCGGTGATGTGGACCGGTGGAGCCTTCAAGTTGCCGCGATGCATATGCACTTGCACTGGCGTTTGGGCCATTCGTTGCGTGGGACTCGTTCGTCCTGGCATCTGGCTGGTGACTGGGATGTGTGAAGCGGGCACTAGTGGCTCGATGTACCGACCCCCATTGGCGGCCACATTGCGTCCGGCGTCGTCAACGAAGTCCGTGATAATCTGCCACAACGGCAGGCGGTCCGCCAGGCCACGAGATCGAGCCTGGTGCACTGCAGCGGTGGCAATCAGTGTGAAGTTCAGCAGTCCGGCATTAAAAATATGCAACCAGGCATTCATCTGCTGCTGACTGTCAGTGGAAGTGATTGGGGGCACTGGGAAAGGCATGGGAATCGGCACGGGAACGGGCACTGGATTGGGAATGGGCGCATCTGCTGGATTCTGCAGGAAAACCTGAGGGCGTGGCACCGGATGACCATTAAAATTCCGCTTCTGAGGCAGCTTCAGTGAGTTCAAGGCCAGCGGAGACGATGACGAAGACGATTTTAAAGTGACTGATGAAACCGACGGCCTTGTGGTAATGGCAGCCTGCGGCTTGGTCACGGCCATGGTCAGGATGGAGGGATAGCTGGAGGAACCTGTTGTGTAGCGATGATGTAGGGGGTCATAGTTTGGAAGGCCCGAGCTCAATACTCACCCTGTTGGCCAGCAACTGCCTCGCGAGCCATCCGCTGTTCGGCTCGTTTGACCCAACCGCGCACCGTGGACTCCGGAACACCCAGTTCACGGGATATTCCGGCCTTGGTTTCCCCCCCGCGAATTCGGGCTATGGCCCGCTCCTTGTCATCCATCGAGACTTGCACCCGGGGACGCTTGCCACGTGGCACTCCAAATACTTCCATGCTCTCAGGAATCAAAAATCACGGATCTTAACCACGCGAAGAAGCGAAAAGAATGGCAGTGAAGAACTTTCTACAGGGTTTCAGGTCTAGAGATTTAGTCGATTTCACTCGCGTTGCCGTATTCCAGACGTTCTGCTCAGCTCGACACGATTTTTTTGACAGGACTTGAGAGGTTCGGGCCCGTAGCGTTTGGGTCAGCTGACATTTAAATCGGCGATGAGGATGACATTTTGCTCTTTCTTTTGCTCCGCTTTCTCTTTCTTCAGGGAACCCCTTTCACACAGGGCTGCATTTTGTCGCTCCGTGGGGCTGCCAACTTGCGCGTTTGGAGCCCTCAATCACAACCAACCGTTTTATTCCTTTGCTCATTTTATTTATTTTCGTACTTTTATTTATACATTTAATTCTGACGTACACTAAAATATGTGTCCTAATTTTCAAGTTTTTAATTTCTTTGTGGGTGTGAACTTCCATTTATTTTTGTGGCTTTCCTGTTTATACCTTTCATTGGGGTTTTTACATACTTATTGTGTGTTGGGGGCCAACTGTACCTTTAAGGGGCAGAGTCTTAAGGAGTTTTTCAGTTTCAGTGAGGAGTTTACTGTCAACAATATTTGCGGAGGAGTAAATTCAATTCATTTTCCCACAATGCCGCTTTAATTCTTACGAATCCATTTCTATATAGACTTAAATACTAGAACCATTTTTAGGTTTCAATTTACAATTTCTCAGGGGATTATCGCTTTTTAAAATTCCTGCCACAATTTGTGGAATTTATGGGGGAGTTCGTTATCAATTATGGTCTAGGTAAATCTATGTGCAAAAAATATACCCTATATATTGTATATCGTACATTATATACATATGCATGTATGTATGTATCTATATACGACTGGTTTTGCTTGACAATTTGCCAACAATAGTACAATATATTCGTATTGTATTTTATTGATATATTAACTAATAAAAACCACCAACAATTGTTTATTATTATTACTCCTATTAATTTGAATTAAATCGTAATTTTCATTTTGGCTTTATTTTGGTTTTGTCATTTTACCTGTCTACCTTAATTAAAATCTAGTTTCTTTATGCCTTTTAAAGTATTCCGTTTTTTCATTTCAACAATTATCACGTGACAATTTTTCATGCTTTAATTAATTTATTCAGGGCAGTTTAAATTTCTTTCCCTTGTGTGAGTGTGTTTTTTAAACATTTATATGTTTGAGGGGCTCTTTTTAGTTTTTATCGTACAATTATTTTCAATTAATATTCATTAGATGTCACGTAGAGCGAAAGTTATAGACTCGACTGGGCAGAGCTACTTACATAGTTATTGGGGGGGATCATAATCATTTTTCAATATTTTTGCGTCAAACTAAAGGCTTTTGGCAGTGCACCCAAATGTATTTTAAAATTCTTCGAGCTACTTGAAATTAGAAAAAACCTAATATTTCAGTAATGGGGATCTTTTCAAAATGAGATTTTTTCACCAAATAAAATTATTGGAATAAATCCATATATTTTACTCTAAAAAAGTTATGAAATGAAACATAAAAAGACATTTAAAAGAATAAACTAATAGTTTTAATTGAGAATATCTCAAAGCTGGTTAAATAAAGTCACACAAAACTCTTCTTGGAGTAAAAAATGTGCCAAAAAGAAACCATCCTGAAATGGTCTCTTAGTGATTCTTAGTAGTCCTCCTGCAGGTGATGCCTTCCCTGCTGCTTAGACGAACTCCTGCACATCCGTCTTAGAATCGCGAAAAGCAGGGCGAACATGAGACACAGTCCCAGGGTAATCAAAGCCAACTTCCCGTATGGCAGCTCGCTGAGATCGTGCTTGAGACAGATCTCGGGTGACTCGTCATGCAACACCAACTGCTGGTACTCGCCAGCGTGATGGAGTAGTCCCAGCTGCTCCAGATTCCACTCGATATGTCGCGTAAGTTGCGACAAGGTCGAGGTGTGCGTCACATTCGGACAGTTGGCTATGCCATTGCAGATCAAATGCTTTGGAATGCAGACGTCGGTGTCGCCGGGACATCGGAAGTCGCAGCCGCCATCCTGGAGGAGTGAGGCAGCCAAGCTGCCGTCGGGATTGCGGGGCAGGTGGAAGAGTTCCGTCCAAACCAGCCGGAAGAGGTTGCGGCCCGGCTGGCCATCTCCCGTGTATTGGATGAGCACGGGCAGGGGTTCCTGATCGGCGCCCGTGGCTCCCAGTTCCGCTGTGGTCAGTATGGGCAAGTCCCTGGCCAGCGATATGTTCTCCGGGCAGACCACAAAGCGGGGTTCCAGGCGTCCGGCCAAATAGACCTCGATCTTGGCACTCTCACAGCTGCGGTCCGCAAATCGGGCTTTCTCCAGATTCAGCCACAAGTCCCGCTGGGCGGCCACCTTCAGTTCCCAGATGCACTTCTCCCGGCGGTAATGATGCTCAGGCGGGGCCATGGGTCCCGACACCATGGCCAAAGCCTTCTTGTACGGAAAGACCAGTTCACCGTCCGGCGAGGGTCCCAGGGTGATGGGCCCACACAACGGACCGTGGGCAAACTCATAGGTGGCCTCGAACAGGGGATTCGGGTTCTTGAAATAGGACGTAATGGCATGCTGGCCCTGCACAATCATCTCGAGGTTCATCTGGTCCGCCGACGAAATGACTCTCACGGCCCTCGGGATATTGTCGCAGAAGCAGGCCAGGTTGTTCTGGTACTTATCCCGCTCCTCCCAAATCACCAGCTTATCCACGCGCTCCTCGTGGCACCGAGTGCAGGCATTACTGTTGTAGGGCAGTTCCTTGAAGGACACCGCATTCACCTCGATTATAGCTCTGGCATACAGCCGTCGATCGGTCACAAACTTATACTGGCAGCGGACATCACTGCCGCCGGTTCGCTTGAAAATCAGCGAATTCAGGGGCGATCGAAGACGACCACCTGGATGCTTCCAGGCGTACATCACCTCGTCGCACAGAGTGTTTGGCACTGGATCCCCGAAACGGGTGTTGTTGAAGAAATCATAGTGCGCCCAGTAGTACAGTGAGCTGCCACTGTAACTGCCCGTCTTCGAGTCGAACTGAACGTACAGCGAGGGACTGGTGCTCACAAAGTCCACTTTCTCCATGGGTCGCGAGAAGGTATCGCAGAAGGTCTTTATGATACGCGCGGGATCGGCGTGATCTGAGTCGTAGATCGTCAGGGACTCCCCGCAGTCGCCTTCGTACTTCAAGATCGGAGATTCAATGCGATTGATGCGGAAACTGGAAATAAAAATAATTAAAATTATGTTTTATTTAAATGGTTAGGCATTCGTACTAATAAATGAATAATTAACAGATAATAAATTGGAACTTTTTTCTTTTGAAAGCAAATAAATTGGTAATTTAGTTTAAAGTGGAATATTATTTATTATTGCTGTATATTGGGACTAAATTTTTATTCAGCCAAATAATTAAATCAATTGGCATCGAATTATATCTGAAAATATATTTGAAACATTCGGTTCCAAGCCAACCATAAGGAAACATAAGTTTTTGACGTAAAATCAAAACTAGAACGAATTTTGATCTTATTATGATTTTATAAAAATAACTTATTTCCCATCAAAGATAGCTAAAATAAAAGAATTAGATAATTCGTTAATATATGAAACCACATCTAAAAAGCACTCTTAATTATTTGTAATCTCACTAAAAAGATATACTTCTTTTAATACAATTTATTTTAATAATATATTATAAACTGAATTGAGTTATGACCGATTTGAAAGAAATGTATAACCTATATAAACTTAAATAACCACAATAAAAGCCTGCTATGCCTTTGTGGAAGAAATGGCACGCATTTCTCTGATATATCTGTTTGTGCTACAGTGTCAACCATAATCGTAAGTCGCGTCTGGTAAACACCTCACTTGGATGCTGGCTCATTGCCAGGCCGCAATTCTGGCCTCGTCTTAACGTCCTACAATTTAATATAAATTCCACCTGCCAACAGGTAAATCTAGCTCCCTCTCTCTCTCTCTTTCTCACTCCCCTTCCTTCTCTGTCGCACACACGTAGTCTCGTTAAGGGTTTTTGGGGTCGCGATGTGAGTTGAATTTTTGCCCGCATCAAATTGCATTCCAAAACTATTTGTGGCAGGCTGGCGAAAACGATGGGCGAGCGCCAAGGATATTTGAAAGGAGTTGATGTGGAAGGCCAATTTTCTGCAGTTTTCCAGCATTACCCTAGTAGTTGATGTGACTGCAGTTCTCTGGGGAGAATTTCAAGTGGGGTCAGCGGAAATGAAAAGATCAAGGCAACATTATTCGTTTATTGCGCCTAGGATTTTTCTTGAAGACTGAAGGTAGCTAGACTATAATGGAAAAGTTAAAGTTATTGTTTAATCCACAAAACGGTCCACGTTCAACCTTGAAAGTTAAAAAATCCGAGCACACACCACACACCAGAGATCTACAAACGACAGTCATCGTTCTCAGTTACTTAACCCACAAAATCCGCAAATGGTTATATAACTCGACCCTGTTTAGGTTTTTGTGCATATCCTTTTATATAACTGCCATTCAGAGTGCGGTGAATATATTCTATGCAATTACATTTGGCCCTATCCGAAAATATGACATAATACAACATTTTATTAACTCACGCCAAGTTGGCCAAATGAGGAGGGGGGCGGGTTGCGGTGGGCCGAGAAAAATCACCATCATCAGCAGTTTGAAGGGGAGCGCGAGGGGCGACTGCCACGCCCCCTAATCTACGTCGCTGGCAGGCAGCAGTGTGGCACAAATTTCATTTGGTTTCGCTCTTGTTTTTTTTATGCCCGTGTGTCTGGCCCCTCGCTATTCATAATGGAGCAGAGTTACTATTTTTTACCCAACTATGTATATCCCCCAAACCCGCAGTCCCTCGTCGACTCTTTTCGACGTGCCCATGCCGTTATTCACGTACGCGTCGTCGAAAAGTAAGCCCCGACACCCTGCGGCATGTCCTCGTAATCCGTTTGCAGCCTAGCCCAATTCCAGTTTTTACACTGTGAACAAATCCTAGTGTTGTGTCTTAAATTTAAAATGGCTTGAAAAACCATTGAACTTGTAATCAAACAATTATTTATCGGTTTCTAATTTTTTTTAGCCAAATTGAAGTCGAGTTTAACTAACTTTATAAAAAATAACAAATTTTAAAAATAAATTGACTGAAAATATATGCAAATGTATTATATATATTAAGAATTTTTATACCATCTAATTCGAGTGTAAAATTTTTAACTGTCATCGTTGTAAAGTATGTAACAAGTAGAAGAAAGCGGTTCCGATCCTATAAAGTATGTTATACATATTTTCTTGATCAGGATCAAAACTCTAGTCGATCAAGCCAAGTCCGTATGTCTGTCCGTCTGTTCAAATGTGTGAAAAGGGTACCTAATAGTCGAAGCACTCGACTGTAAAAATAAAATAAAAGCGTTCCTTTTTGTTCTTTTCTTATGAAGTTGTTCGGGAATGTGAACCTACGTACGAGAGTACATTTTTTTCATCCGGATACTTATGGAAAAACCAAACAACAAGAACACTTAGCCGTTTTTTTATTTTTATCCGAGATAAAATAACATGCAAGTTAAACAAATTAAAGTTAATCATTCAAAGCTCATCAAAATACTGATTTTAATCAGTTTTATTCTTAAAACTAATAAAATTGTAAAGTAGTCGCTTAGATTAGTTATGATTGACCTTGATTTGCCCTGGCTGAACTTTTAGAGAAAATGCCCATAAGAATAAATACAAACTTATTAAATACAAAATTCCTAGTTAATAACAGCTTTTAAGCCAAAGTAAATTCTTCTCAGCAATGGTGCTCTGATAGGCGCAGAATCCTTGATTCAGAAAGCATTTATTGCTCGGGTGCCAGTAAAAGTGCTATTTTCTCCTAGTGCAACTTCGAGTTCCGAGCTCCTAGTCCGAGTTTCCCGTTATGCTGACTCAGTGGGCGGGCTTTTCCGTGGAGGTGGAGGTGGAGCAGGGGTCGCGGGGTCACGGGGGATTGTTGTGAACTGGTTAGCCATGTTATGTGCATATGGGAGTCGATTGGTGCCGTGGCCAAAAGCCCAGAGCGTCAGTTTATGTGGCCATAAGGCTTATAAATAGCCCAAGTATGCGACATGTCTTGGGCATTTCAAGCGGATTTTCGTTACGTTTTTTTGGGTACCAATAGGGTAAAAAACGGTAGTAGATAGCTGCAATTGATTTTATTTTCGACATGTCTGATGGGTGGGAAAAAACTTTAGCATTGAAGTTGATTTTATTAGTCATTTGTGTCTAGCAAAAGAGCAGAGTAGTCAAAATAAGTCAAATACATATAGTTAATAGTACGTTTTCCGCCGAAAGCTGGAGAGCAAAAAGGTCGCTCATAAATATTTATTTAGGAAAATAATGGTTGCGACTTTGCAGGTGCAAGATTACAACAAACTGTGATAGGAAATCGCAAATGATAGAGGACATTAAATACACAATAGTAACACAATCTATCGGATAATGGCCCAACTAAAGCAGACGTTGATGAGTTGTTAGTAGCTAGTAAAGCTGGTGAAACACGGGCAACTTCGCTCGCCCATTCACAACATTATTGGGAAAAGTGTGTGCTCTGTACAAGCAAATGGATTGCTTATCCGACGCCGCCCCCGCTCCCGCCCCCACAAGCAAGAGGAAAACTTAAGTGCAATATACTCAAGGAGTAGTTCAACATCTGGTCAGCTCACTTGGAAAAAATCGTATTGGATAGGTAGTAGACAAAGAGCGAGCAAACAAAAAACCAAGGGTCTGGAGGCGGAAGGCGGGAGCAGGCGAAAGCAAAGCCATGACATGTTACTTAAATGAGCAACTTTGTTGGAAACAATGTCGACAGCGTCTAGACTCGGGACTCGGGACTCGGCTCGACTCCTGCGACAGCCAGCAGGACAACAGCTCCTACGACAGTCCACTACGGTGGATTTTGGGTGGATGTGGAGCCGTGGGAAGAAGGTGTGCGAGGTAAATGCAAACTGACGGCTACGCAGGGGAGCTCGAGAAAAACCTCTCTAATGGGCTGCCTTTTGGGGCATACCCTAGCCGGGAATATTACAATTTGTTCGAAACTGCATATAAAGTAAATATATTATTGATGAACTTCAGCGGAATGGTAGTGAAAGAACAAAAGGATATTATAAAATGTGAGTGATTGTGCTTCAACCACAGCTTAACGCTCTATCCTTTTCAATACATTTTAACTCTTTTATTTTTAAAATAAATATGGAATGCTTCTATTATTAATATCCTGTAAACAATTATCAATTTTCGTCAATATTATACATTTTATCAACTTAATTTAGGTTACTTTGTTTTTAATAAATATTATTCGTTTTCTATTATTAAAATGCCCTAAGCAATGCACATTTTGTATCTTATTTTACAGATGTAAGGCTGTGTTGGACATGTTCGACAAGCTAGAATTAATCTATAAAATTGTTTAGACTATTAGTTGACTTAGAAAAGAATATGTTTAATAGTTAATTACATATAAAATATCATTATAATAGTTACCCACTTTAAACTTAAGGGGGTCATAGGATCAAGTTATCTAGAAGGGTATGTTAAGCTCCGATCTTTATAGTTGCCCTGCTTTCGTATTGCTTCTGTAGTTGTTGCGTTGCGAGCTGCAACTTGAGTGAAGTTGGCAGAAACAACAAGCCCAACAACTACCCAAATAACCACAACAACAAAGACGATAGAAAAAAACAACAAGGACAACAACTTGGCCAGAAAAGGAGGAGAAATGTTGTGGGTGTGTGCCGAACGCAGTCTCCCATTGCATTTTTCGTCTACTTTGAACTTTTGCCGAAAAACGAGGAAAAACAAAAACCACGTTCCTCTGGCCATCTCTTTCGCCCAGCTTATCGCCATCTCTTTCGATTGCTTACCCTGTTCGGTTGCATTTTGTGCACTGTAATCACGCAATCATGTTGCCCACTTCTGAACTCTTAATGGCAATCGGTGTAAACGTGCGCACAACTTTTCCAGCACCCCCCTCTCCACCCCCTGGACCACCCATTCTTTCCTCCGCCCTCTTCCCTGTTATCCACCAACAATGGGTTTGCTATGCTTACTGGAACTGGAACTTCTCCGGTCCTCCTCGTCCTGTAGGTGGACATAAATATTTATCTTTTGGCAAAAACTTGCCTGATATTTTAAACCCCCGTTCGTCGCACCTTTCGTCCGATCTTTTCATCTGCCGCATGTGCTGTTGTGATGTTTGCCCTGTACACATAGTTTTCTTTGGCCGTTTCCAGCAAAAACTTGGCAATGTTCAGTAACAAATTCTGCATAAATTACAGAGCTGCAACATCAAGCGGTTGTTTGGCTTCTTCAGGCGGATGAGATGCTCCAGAATCGTTGCAATTGCAGCTGGATTACTCGAAGCGAACTTGTGTAAATGGCAGACTTGAGATTACAGAAAGGAAGGGCATAAATGGGTGTGATTCGGAAAACAGAATTACACAAACGGGCGGTAAAAAACAGTCAAACGATGATACTAAAAAGAAAAGCAATTCACTTTATAGGATATTAGACAACTTATCACTCTTCCAAAAGGCGTTTCAAGATTGTAACTTATGTTTAAAGAAAACGTTACTCGACTTATAAATCGAACAGATATAATTGTTAATAGTTTTCTTATTTATAATATTCCTAAATTATTATTGTTTCAGTTTTACTTTCTTGTCAAAGTATATGAAGGCTGAAAAATTGGAACGTGGTCTTTAACAGAATTCCGGATTGAAAATATATTGCATATCCCTTGAAACCTTTATTAGTTATTTTAAAACCCCGACCACCACAAATTTCCCTAAAAATCTCTATGCGCTTAAAATAACAGTTCAGTAGAAAAATGCAGATTTATACCTCAATACTACTGACTTAAGTTCCTAAATTATGAGTGCAATATGACCTCGCATTTTACGATTTCGGTTGAAAAACTTTCATCTTTATCCTGTTTTCCTCTCATCCATTGATGTGCCCTCAAAGTGTCAGTGAGCCGGAAAACTTCGCCATAGTCTTTACCACTCGTTGCGCCATGCAAAGCCAAAAACCGCAGCACAATAAAATATTTCGCAGCGCATGGGAAATGCAGTGGAAAATTCTCAAAATGAAATGCACAATCAATGCGACACTTGGCCAAAAAGTTCAGACATTTCGCCAGCATTCCAGACACAAACAATGCCGACAACGGCGACAAAGTAAAAATACATATATATTTGGATTTATGTACGGGTATGCACACAAAGAACAACTCCAACTCGACACGTTAAATTAAAATGTCACATAAATCTTTGCGGGAAATTTCATTAAAATACGCTTACAGCATAGAACGCAATGAGGAAAGGCCGAGGATTGTCCCAGAAAAGAAGGGATGAAGTCCTGAGGAGCAAACCGAAGTACAAACCGCCCACATAGCCGCAAAACTTTGCACTTGTAGCGAAAAGGACGTCCATCGGATTTCGGACTGTGGAGAGGGATTAACTTGGATAGTCCTTGTCGGGATAACTGGTTCCAAAATGGAAATTTTAATGGAAAAACTTGCAAATGCAAAATGGCAAGTGGTGAACCGATCTTGAGCTGAGGTAGTGAATGTTTTCTCAGGCAGGATAATTTAAAAAAGCCACTTGAAACTTATTTGATTTTTGATTAAAAGTAAAACTTTCTCAGAAACTTTGTATGCCAGGTTTGCCCACGATCTGGACACTTAAAATCAAAGATGTCTGTCTACGAGAAAATGGGTTACAGTGAAAGTTGTAAGCATAGAAATCAAATATTCTGTTCGTTAACTGTCTAATAAAAGTTAGTTTACGAGAGAATGTTTCATTAAAAAAAGTTATGGTAATTTATGGCACTACATAAATATTTAAAAACATGGCTAAGTATTAGATTCAACATTTGAATTTTTAAAAATTTTGTAATAAAATAGCCTTTAAGCTTAACTTCAAATCTAAACTAGGCTAAAATATCTTGATTAAAAATGTTTAGTTTCCTATGTGACTAAAAGTGTCACACAATGCCTTGAGTATATCCTTAATTTCAATTCAGAACTAGAGCGCATCAGGGCGGAAACAAGGATGTTCTTCGCCGGCTAATGCGGCACACATTCGTCGACAATTTGTGACGAATGAGCAATGAAATGCATGGAATTCGTAATGCCTACCTGGGGAAATAAAGGCGCACAATTTCGCCGACATGTCCTTTGATGTGGTAGCTGCAGGACGTGTTCGGCGGATACCAGTGGGCGATGCTGAGGAAGATGCCCTCGCTGGCGCTGCTGTCCTTGAGCGAGTCGGAGCTCAGTAGCCAGTCGCAGACGCCGTGCTTGATCCCGGCCGTCTCCACATGTCCTGGCCAGTTGCCAACGTTGAAATGGAAGCCCGTGTTGAGCAGCGGACCCGCCGGCGAGGTCACAAACTCCACATACATGTATTGCGAGGTGCCTGTCGGTTATGCAAATTGTTTAGAGCGTGCATTCCCTGTGCGGTGGGCATGCCGAGTGGGCGGTACTCACCAATAATGCTGAACGGGAACTTGCCCAGGCCGCAGAACTTTCCTATCAGCGGCGAGTGCTCGTCGCGGCCATCGTAGACCGCCAGCCAGTCGTAGGGACAGTGCTCGTTACCAGATCCAATCGGCCTGATCGGACAGGTCATCACGTTCTCACACCTGCAATACGAAGAGGCACTTTGATTACCGCCCGCTTTGTTACATTTATGGGAGCGCTGAAAGGGTAAATTTAATTTATCCGGCGCCGCCGGTTCAATGAAAAAATTGTGGAAAAGTGAACAATTAAAAAACTCACGTTCCACAAATAACGAAGAAAATAAAAGGCAAAAACAACGGAATAAAGAGTAAGGCTGGCAATTGAATAACTGACTGAGTGCTGATGCTTTTAGTGCCTGGCGGAAATCCGTGAAAAAATGCTGGTGAAACAGGGGCGTGGGTAAAAGGGGAGAATATGTGTGAAAAAATGTCTGGCGTTAACTGATTTTTATGTGAGAATATAAGCAAACTTGGCTTTAACACAAACGTTTTGTCCCTTAAACTTAAAATCAATTTATTGTTTTAACTTCTGATTAAATGCTACAATGATGTTTAATAAATTTAAGCAACGTTTTAATATAACAGATTAGTATTATATTGTTAATGATAAAATGTCTACTCAATGTATTTGCGCTGTAAAACTTGCCTGGGAAAAAAGATGTTTGCTTCAAAACGAACTTAGAGGGATTAGTGTACTCCTCGTTTTTCAAATGCTTTTTAAATGGACTTGAATAAATGATTTTAGTGCTTCATAACTTAAGCGACCGACGCCCATGGACTTGACATTCATTTGCACTTTGCCAGCCCGAGGAAACTGGGCAAAAAAACAAAGTTCACACAGAAAACGAAGAAAAAAGCCAAGGGAAAATCTAAAGCGTCTGTTTTGAAGCCTTTTCTAATTTCTTGCGTCAGACGGTCGAGGATGCTTTTAATTTTTTGCTGGCCGTCTGGTCGAATGGCACATAACCTCGACTCCGGGCCCAGACAAAGTGACCTTTGTGCCCGGCCATTGATGATGGCCACGATGACGGGAGATGCGATGTCGGTGGGATGCCATCGAGCCGCTCGGCCGTCCTTTTCGATTCAGAATTTTACTTCCCCCTGGCGGAGCAGACTGATTGGTGGCCAGCCCAAAAGGCAAATGAAATGCCTCTCACCTGGCCCGCTATGTGTATGTGTGTGTGAACTTTCTAATTGAAAGCCAACTTTGGCAATTACCAGCTGAACTTTAATCAAATGGAGACCCGACCAGTGAGTCAAAGCCAAAGGCAGTTGAATGTGATTTGGCCAGTGAAACAAAAATAGCAATTTAATTGACAGTTCCTTATCCTGCACTCCCTTTTTTTTTGATCAATTCGCCAGAAAGTTTGGCAACAAACTTTTGACCAACTTCTGTATCTATATCCATCTATACGCAGCAGATAGATAGATTTCTATTAGCTAGTCGGTTCGTTTCAGTCAATTTAATCACTTTGTCAGCAAGTTTTTCTCCGAGTCGGCGAAGAGCTAATCCAACTTATTGATAATAAATGCGTTGTTGGCCAGAAAGTTGATTACAAAGAAGGGGACAGAGAAAATGACTGTTTAGTCTGGGAAAAGCTTTTGCCTCCTCCGCAAACACAGCACACATATCAAAAAAAGAGGAAAAGCGGAGCGAAAAAAAAACATCAACTGACTGGTAATAATTTTGGCATATTAAAAAACTTTTTTACTCGATGACTTTTGCATTTGTTTGGCATCCGGCCGTCGAAGTTTTGCCGACTGAATTTTTTTGCTGTGATGGCAGAAATATTTTTGGTATAGCCCAAAGAAATTAGGAATGTTGTTGTGGGCTGTATTTTTTGACAGCCCAAGGAGCTGTGCAATAAACTGAAGTGATTTATAAAACAGCGGCAGCACGAGAGGGAACTTTCTGCTGACTTGGCATCCGATTTGGAGCTGTAACTGGAGCTGCGGAACAGGTCGGGTTTTATGAACTGGATTTATGGCATATCTATACAAGGCTTAGGCGGATTATGATGATTGTTTAGAAGTGGAGAGGTGTATGCTTGCAGAAACCCAATTATTTTATTATTGATATTGGAACTGAGCACTTTGCGATTAGATATTGGATTTGGTTATATTTGATTATTAATATTGGAACTGAATACTTTGTGCAGCTAAGTCCAGGAGAGATATTCTTGAATATTTGTTATTACAATTTAATGAACATTAAATGTTTCTTCCAACAGCCAAATAAAATTATTTACTTATAGTTTAAAGTGGTAGTCATACCGATTCATTGTGGTTTATTTTCCTTAAATCAAAATTCGATTTTGGCTAAATTTGATAATTGGTATTGGAATTATTTTACCTTACGCTGCTATCTCCTGGTTAGATATTCTTTGCATTTCATATTACAATTTAATGAAAGCCAAATATTAAAATTTATTTGAAGTTTTAAAAGAGGTAACCAAACCATTTAAGTGTGGTTTATTTTTCTTGGATGAAAATTGGATTTTGGCTTTTAAAAACCTACTGCTAACCTACAGACACATCAGCAGTAAATACGCTCACTTTTCTCTGGAGAAGTATGATTAGCTCCTTGGCAAAGGTCTGTTTGTCTAATCCTTTCCTGCAGACCGAAAGCAACTTAGACTTGCAAATTAATACACACTTAAGGGGGATTGTACCCCAGGTTGCCTCCACTTTTCACCCCCATCCTCTTACTCAGTTGGGAACCTAACTCAAAGTTGGCAACTTTGACATGCGTCTGTCGTTTTCCCCTTTTAGTTTCCCTGCCTTTGGACTTTTCAAAAGGTAAATATTCAAATTGAATCTATAAAAATAAATTGAATGTTGATTATCTAATTCCAGCTTGCTGTTGCTTGATGTGCACGTTTTGGGCTGGGGTGCTCGGAATCGACGGTCCAGGGGAAATATGCTGACTCCAGAATTTGCACATCAAACAAGCTTTAAGATACTCGGCCACTTCTGCCGGCCATTTGTGCTGGGAATGTGCAAAGTGTTAAAAGCTGAAGGTTTTTCCCACCCAACCATTAAATCCCCATCGGGACAAGGGCAAGTAAGGAGCTTTGACCCATCCTCATTACCCCGAGTTCATGATAAAGCAAATATTTTGTGAAAGGTCATTTCGGTTAGGCAAATGTAAAGTGTACTTGTCGCGGCAAGGTAGAAGTGGGCATTATTTCAAGAGGTATTTATGCCCACCTGGGTGAAGGCGGGAATGGTCATTAAATATTAAAGTTCTGATTTAAGCCAAAAAGGTTTACAGACAAGCCTGCAAATGAGTTTGCATAAATGGCCAGAGGAGAATTCCTGAGTCAATACATTTTGTTCGAAGTTAAAAGTTTCGGCAGTTGCTAAAAAACTACTTAAGTCAAATACTTTCTTAAAAATCCTTAGGAAGAAGATTCTCTAAAAAATATATAGCAAGCTAAAGTCCTAAAACCAAATTTATAATTTAGAAAAAAAAAGTTTTTCTGCATCTTCAAAATTTTATTTTTACATTTTTTCGACAGGCTTTTCAGGTTGAGTATTTTATATAATTTGGCCGTATTTAGTATTGTTATTAAGTAGCATTAAAGATCTCTGAGACTTACAAATTCAAGAAGCTGAAGAAAGAATGTATTCAAGGGTGGCTGAAATTGGTCTCCTCAGACAATTTCATCATTTTGGCATTAATAAAACAAGACAGCCATGACTTCTATCATTTTCTCCGCCCTTCTTCGTCACAATCGAGGGCAACCTCACTCAAAACGTAATCCTTTAGCCAATTTTCCATGGCACAAACACAGAGCGAGTCACAGAAACAGGTTCTGATTCAGATTCTGGTTCTGGTTCAGAAAGTGACGCATACAGATACGGCGAATGGAAGGCGAGGACATGTCGCCAACGTTTTCCAGCAAATTGGTGCCAATTTTTGCGACGAGCGCTATGTCAAATTGTCATTGTCAGCATGCCAAATGCATTGCAACAACACAACCGGTGGCAACAACAAAGTTTTTGGGCCAAATGTCGCTGAATTGTATGGATTGTGCAATCGCCGTGCCAAAATGACAAATTACAGGGTGTTGCATTTAACACTAATTTTGTTTCAAAAAAAAAAAACGGGGATAAATTGAGATGAAATAAATTTGCATAAATAAAATAAACTTTTTTGTAACTGATTGTTTTATAAAATTGATAGAAAGGCAGAAAGGTTGGCCATTACTTAAACGATAGCTTTTTGATTCAGGTTGTTTCTAATGCATAACTGATTGTAATGTATTTAGCTTTAACATAAATTAACATAAACGCATTATCATTAATCACTTTATTTGCGATAAAAAACTATTAGTGATGTGCAGCATTTATAACAAACAATATTGAATATATTGCATTTCAAATTACCTCTGTCCATCCACTGCAAACTGTTCGTTCTGCAGATACAATTTAATGTATGGCTGGCGGGTGTGCAACTTATAGCGACAATTCAGGGCCCGAGGATAAAGGCCAGGATATGCGGGCGATTGAACATAGCAGGTCTGGAGGCGACAATCCCGATACTCCCGTTCGCAGTAGGATCTGGAATATATATGTGTATGAAATCATTGAATTACAGGAATGGAAATATTTAATTTAATTTGTTTCAAATTGGTTAAGTCACTCAGCCCCCCCATAAATGTTTGGCTCCCAGAAGGCATCCCAAATGATCCATAGAACTTTTCGGGTTCGTCTGCCCAGTCCTTTAACTGCGTCAAGGAAGCCAGAAAATTGTGTTCACTGATTTGGAAATTCCTGTTCCACTCGCTTCTCGTTTTTCTCTTCCCTCAAATGTGCGTTATTCTTGGAGCTTGTAAAATTGTTGTTAAATTACAACAAAAGATTGTGTAAAATTTTTATTCCTTCTGAGTTTGGCGCGTATAATTTTCAATTTGTTTAAGTAAAACAAACGGAAAATCATTCAAAGGCGAGGCTAGCGTAAATATGATTACCATTTTTATTCGTTTTCTTCCCAAATCCCGTCCTTTTTCCCTGTCCCTCGACTCTTTGTCTTTGGCAATTTGCTTTGGTTTGGCTCCTCAATTGCGTTTGGGTTTGCTTTGGTGTCGATGCGCGCGTGACCGCAAAATTAGCATAAAAATCATATTGGCCATGTGGGTGATGGGGAGCGGGATTTCCACCATACCCAAAGGGGAGGTCCCGGTGGTCGCTTTTGATATGATCTTAAAGAGCATCTCTTGATGCCACTTAAAGAAGAAAAATATTGGCTATTGAATTCGTTTGAATGCGAGTTTGAATGCCTCACAAAGATAAAGCAATTCAATAAATTCTAGTGGTAATTTACTTTTTAGAGACGCATTAAAATGATTTAGCAACCTCTACTACGAATCAACTTCTCGATGAGTATTTTGTTTTATTCCCTTTTCAGTAAACCTACAATTTGCTTTGAAAATTTATGTTACTTTGGCTTTATGCAAAAGAAAACAATTAAAAAGAATTTAAAAACAGCTTTTACGATTTTATTTCTCGTTGAATTTCGTTCATTTCGAAAGTATTATCTGCCATTGCAATTTATTTGAGCAAAAAGCCTACTTGGAAACTTTATATTCGCCGACTTTTTCCTTGCCAACCATCTGTATGCATATGCACAAATATCATTCGAGTAAATCTAGCATATTCCGCCCCGCTTCGTTACTTGCTGCCAAATCTTTGCTTAAAACTTGCAACTTATTTTATTAAGATAAAAGTTAGACGGGCAGAGCCAAAGAAAAAATGGAAACTCCAAGAGAAGAGAATCAAATAAAATTTAATGTCTGCAAAGTTTTATTTTTGTCAGGGTTTCGGGTGGGTGGGTGGTGCCCTGCGAAATGAATTCTTCTTTTCGGTTTCAATTGCCGACTTTTTCAGCCATCCTTCAGGCGTAAAGCCCGCTCGATTCTCCTCCCGCGAATTTTATGTTGCCGCAGTGCAGAAAGCACAAGTAATTCAATTTAATGCGACCTTCTGTTGCCGGATTTTCTCTGCTGTTTTCCGACTCGTATATGATTATGAAATGCGCCAGCGAATCGAAGACAAGGGCCGCGTCTGAAGTGCCCCGTCAAAAATATGCCCCTTAGCTCAATATTTCTGTAATAAAATTGAATTAACGCCCGGGTTATAAAAGAGCGAAATCCCAAAAGCCCCCAAAAAGAAAAGAGCCTCTTTGGAAACCCATTCGATTACCCGTTTTCGGTAAGCCATTTACTCACCCTTGGACAACTTCGCCGCGACGATTTGGATATAATTCCGGATGTTGGCCGTATCGCAGATAGACTTCGGTTTGTTGTTCGGCGCGTGAATCGAATGTGAAGTAGGTCTGCAACGGGTTGATAGAGAAAAGTGCGGGATGAGTGGACAATGGCAAAAAATCACGTATACGCAGTGTGATCCCTCTTAACCCCTCCGACGACCATTGTTACTGATGAATTTTGTCAATTTCCCTCCTGCTCGGCTCGACATCAGACAATTGCGTGTTTCGTCCTGCCGCCCCTCCCTTTTCTGCCCGCTTTTCATTCCATGGCCTGCCACATGAAAATGTGCAATGTCATTTTCCCTGCCACCCACGCCCACGCCCACACAAGACTGTGAGTTTTCCCTGAGCCTCTGCCATCCTGTTTGCCTGTTGTTCCCTTGCAACGGTTGCCTCATCAGCGCTAATGACGTGCTGCAGTGACGTAGGCAGTAGCCACGCCCCCGTTCGCCCCAGACCGCATCCATACGCCCAGCTGGAAATGACCAAAAGAAATGAAGGCAGAACGGCAGAAAATAAAGGGGTTACAAAAGGGTAACGAACCAAGATGGCTGAAAGAAATATATTTCAGAAGAGTACTGCTTTAAAATATTCAGTGGTGGTTATTATTTATCAACCCCTTTGCTTTAATCAATTTATTAATTAAATTTTTTTTATTTACAGATGAAGAATAGTTTTATCTATTTTATTTTATTGTTACCCAATTAAAGCAAGTCGCGTTTTTTCACTTTTCTATGGAATTTTTTACCATAAAAATATTTTTTATTTTATTTTGTTAAATTAAATGTAAATTATCTTAATTTTGGTAAATTTTCAACTTTTGGCACCGAGGAGAAATCAAAATGTGCACTGTGTTTACAATTCCTAAAATTGCACAATTTTCAATTAGTGCTTACTTAACTTTAGAGTACACTAGTTATTCAAACAGTCAAATGAGATTTGTTCAACATCATTTACCAACTCGATAAGCTAAACAAAAACAATGATGATTGCCCATTTGTGAGCTTTGATTTAATTTGCCTGCTTTCGAATATCCATCCCCAAAAAATAACATTCATTTCAATTACTGATATCGAAGTCGAAATTATCGAAAGACAGCCGCAAAAGCGATTTCCGAATTCGTCCCCCATTTCCACCTGCCGCAAAATCAACGTCATGGTTATCAATTCACCCCGTTCCCAAATAGCTCCACCGGCCTTGATGGCCACATAAACCTCATTGGCCATTCTCCATCGGGGGTCTTTCAGGGGGATTTTGCCGGGGGATCGGGATCGGGAAAGGGAACGGGAACAGGATTGGTTTGGGGGCAAGGAGTGGCGTAATGCACATGTCAATATTAAATGCGTTACCGGCGTCAATGACGTTAGCGCCACTTAACGATGTGAACAATGGCAGAGGCAGGCTCGTTTCGATTTATCCAGATGCTGCTCACGTGGATACCTATCCGTTCAGCCACCCTGAAAATATCTCCCATGGCGGCGGCCCCCTGCTCGTATCTATAGATACGGATATATTGGAGTTTACACAGGGAAAAAACGTTAAGGGACTTCCTCACAGAAACTACATTAAAAGATTTATCATTTAAGATGGTCTCATCTTACCTATATTATCATAGAAACAAGTTTATTCTGTTACCCGTACTATCTGTTCACAGCTTAATTTGAACTGAAAATATTTGATCTACATATATAATTCTCAAATACTATAAGTGGAGTTATTCAAAATATTTTCAATAAATACAGAAGTTTCGAGCTAAAAAAAAGAAATCCAATATTTGTTTATATATAGTGTTTTTATCATTAAAAAATGTTTATGCAATGATAAATTATACAGTTGATACCAAATTTAAATGCATAGAATATTTTCAAAAGTGAAATTAGAAAATTTGGTTGTATAAATTCACTATTGGTGTAAGGAAATTAAAACCAATTTGATTTTAATTATTCATGTTACATAAAAAAAAAATAAAGTGAAAAAAAGCAAACCTTTTTCATAAATAATCAACTTATCACTGTGGAGATTTGGAATGCACGAACGTTTTCAAAAGTGGAGCTCCGCTGATTCCGATTCGCATGATGACGAGGATAATAACGATGGCATTGGAGATGATGTCCCCGGTCGCCCTACCGTTAATGTCCTGACAAATTTGCGCTCGAATAAATTAAAATTTCAAACTGATTTGTTGCCGCCTGCTCTTTGGCGTCCCGTTTTTGTGAAATTATTTTTGATTTATTTCGCGTGGAATTTATGTTAATGCGAATGCGAAATTATTTCGTTTCCTCGCCGCCTCTGGCCGATGCTGTCCCTCATTAAATCGTGTTATTACATTGCCAGAGCTGTCGCTTATTTTTATTTATTACCGAATGGGATGCCCCCAGACCCCTGACCCCTGACCCCTCGCCGAACCGACGCACTCGCGCCGAATAAGTGGCAAAAAGTTGCCGTCTGCTTGGCGAAAAACAAAAAGCGAGAAAGAATACAAAGCGCAGCATCCGCCAACTTTCAACTTGCAACTTTCAGCGAGCTTGGAGAGTTTTCATAAATATTTATGACTCCATTAAGGTGTGCATAAGACACACTCTGGAGGGTGTCCTGCCGGAGGACCCTCTCCCACCCCCGCCCCCGCCAGCTTGTCTGCCCCGGTGCTCGGAGCACTCATTCATGGCTTTAGTCGGTTGTGTTGTTTGTGTTTGCACATCCCTGCAACTTGTTGTAAGCCGGGCCATAAAGCCAATCGCCTGCATTGACTACGCACTGCGAAAAGAGGGATCGGGGCAACTATTTGGCTTTGGGATTGAATGAAACAGGAAGGCTTGAATGGAGCTATGGATTCATGTACAGAGGACGTGATTTTGAAGGTTATATCATTATGATGGAACGAAGGAGATTGGAAATTGGTTTGACGATTGGCATGTGCAAATCCCATCTGGGCTGCCATAAAGAAATTTCCAAAAAGCTTTTCAGATCTCTGGATAAATAGGGTCATGGCGAAAAGTAGTTAGAGCAAGTTCAACAATTTTTAATTTATTATTTCTGAGATGCAAGAGTTGCCTTTCTTCATCCTTTAAAAAAATTCGTCAAAAATAACTATTCTGCAAATTTTCCGTCTAATAATACGCTTTATTGTCTTATTTCTTTTGGGGATAATTCCCCTCCATCTGTTACCATTTGCAGGGTATGATTTTTCAAGATCTTCCTTCCGCCGTCCCAAAAAAAAAAAAAAAAAAAAAAAACTGCATTATAAATATTGAAATTCTTTATGTGACATAAAGAAGTTATCTTTCATTTTATAAATGAAAATACCGCATCAAAAACGTTGCAGCCAAGCAGTTGACGAAAAAGAAAAACAAAAAATAGTGAGGAAAATCAGAGGGAAAATAGCAACGAAAAGGGAACGGGGGCAAAGCTAAATAGAATTCAAGTTGTGAACTGAAAATTCACATAGATATGCGTCTCTATATATAATCTGCTGTGTGAATATATATCAGCAGAAGGAGACTGACGGCGCCAGCCAGCCAAAAAGGATGCAGGAGACAGGACACGCCGACAGACGGAGGCCAGACAACGGTGCAGTCCACCCACGCCATAGACGCTCGACGCTCGACCCACTCCTGAATAATGCATGCAAAAATACAAAAAAGGGAAAAATAAATATGGGCGAAAAAATAAGCACACACTCTGGCCCACCATCCACCAGTATCTGTGTGTATAACTCTCGCTAAGTGCGAAAGTGAGTTGCATAGATGCAGCCGAGCAGATAGAGCAACATGGGTCAGGACATGGCAGCAGCCAAGCCAACAGGGAGCCAAATGGGGTGCCCAGGCAAAAGCGGAGGGGTTCGGGGCTGTCGGAGTGAAAAGGGCGAAGACAGGCAGTCAAGACTGGTGTGCTGTAATATTTTCCCTAAATTATGTGATAAATATAAATATACAGACATTTATATACGCACACTGGACGAATTCTTGGCAGGTACTTGAAATATTGAAACTGGCTAGCTAAACTTACTTAATAAACAACCAATTCAAGTTTTTTTTAAAAATAATGAGAGCCCTCTAACATTTTTAAAGTATTTATAACTTAGATAAAGGTATTTATTAAAGATTTTTGTTGCTCATTAGGGAGAAAATATGGTTTTAGTATGGTTTGATAATTGTATTGTGATCATTTTGTTTCGCGATTTAAAACAACCAGTCCAGCACAACAAATATTTTCACTTTCTTCTGAACATACTCGCTTGAAACATGTGTAACATATGCAATTAATATTTCAATATTTGCATACTGAAATAATTGATAATTAATTAATATTTTATACTATATATATGATTTTTAAAAAATAAATTCAAACAAAGCAGAAATGAGTATATAGAAGAAGAAATATGCATTTAAATATAAAGTAAGCAAAAATTAGTCTTGATACATATTTTTTCTTCGTGCAGATTTGTATCTAGAGCCCTAGAAATATGCAAGGAACCAGGACAAGGGGACTTTTGTTTATTAGTGTAAGTGGCAAGACTCTGGCGACAGAAGACAACAGACGGCAGGAGTTCAAGGATGCCTGGCTTTGTTGCTCCGTCAGTAATTGGAATTCTCTTCTGGCTGGGGCACAAAAATGAAAAGTCCCACCGAGAGATCCCGCCTAAGATGACAAGTGAAAGAAAGTGTCCGGGAAGGCTCACCTGATCCGTAAAGTTGTCCGTGTGGAAGAGCACCTTCACGTAGCTGGTCTCGCTGATGAATGTCTGAGGCTGCTCCGCCTCCCCGCAGAACATTCCGGGCTCCCTGCGATTGGAGACATCCGTCTTGGCGTTGCCATCAACAATCTGCAACAATGGAGAGCAGGCAAACTCAATTCAGTTGGCGATGTGTGTGTGTGTGTCGTGTGTGTGTCTTGTGTGTGTCTTGTGTGTGTCTTGTGTGGCATATGTCATCGCTTAGCCGGCGATATAAATTAGCTGCGACATGGGGCGGAGATAAATCAAGAGCTGGTGGCAAGTGGCCACACCCACCTGCAAATAACCGCCCTCGCAGTGGGTGGCATTCAGCAGCTGACCCACTTTGAACTTTTTGAACCGCAGGCGCAGCACAAAGTCCCGAGGCGCCCCCTTCAGCGTTCTAAAGCGGTACCAGCAGGTCAGCGGGCGGCCCACGTTCTGGTTGCTGACCTCCGGCGAGCTGATGTCCTCGAAAATGTCCACCGTCTTGTTGCAGTGGTCCCGCGACGCGTCCGACGAGCTGCCACTCCCACCGCCCCCGCCGCCGCCTCCTCCGCCGCCACTGCCTCCACCGCTGCCACTGCCACCTGAAACAAAACAGAAATAAAGTTAATGAGTTAGAGGTATTTAAAACACAGAAGTCAATGGAATAACACTTTGGTGCCATTCAAATACATTTTTATACCCTTGCAGAGGGTATTATAATTTCAGTCAGAAGTTTGCAACGCAGTGAAGGAGACATCTCCGACCCTATAAAGTATATATATTCTTGATCAGCATCACTAGGCGAGTCGATCTAGCCATGTCCGTCTGTCCGTCTGTCCGTCTGTCCGACCGTTTATATGCAAACTAGTCTCTCAGTTTTAAAGCTATCTGCATGAAACTTTCCCAAAAGCTGTCTTTCTATTGCAGGTAGTATATAAGTCGGAACGAGCCGGATCGGACGACTATAGCATATAGCTCCCATAGGAACAATCGGAAAAATAAATGAAAAAAATTATTACTTTTCTGTTTTTTAATTTTTTGTTTAGTTCTTCGACATTTAGTAATGGTTAAATATTTTCGATTTACGGTTTAAATTTCATCAAAGTCGGACGACTATATCATATAGGTCCCATAGGAACAATCGGAGAAATAAATGAAAAAAAATTATAACTTTTCTGTTTCTTAATTTTTTGTTTAGTTCTTCGACATATGGCAATGTTTAATTATTTCAGAATTATGGTTTAAATTTTATCAAAATCGGACGTCTATATCATATAGCTCCCATAGAACTAATAAAAATATATAAAATAACTATCTAATAATTGAGCTGCAAATCATCATAGCTTCACTGTTTTTCAGTATATACTCAAGTAAATCATAATTTAAATGTTTTCAAAAGTATTTAATTCATGCAATAGCTGCAAGGGTATATGAACTTCGGCTTGCCGAAGTTTGCTTTCTTTCTTGTTTATTCGAATATATAACCAAAGTGGTGAGTCAAAGTAAAGATGGTTACCAAAGCCTTGTTGAAATAGGCATATTACTATATTGTACTCCTTTCGTTTAACATATATTAAATAGTCAATGTTTATAAAAATATAACAACGATATTATTCTGAACAAACAGAAATATTCCAATTATGTTAAGAACATCCAAAACTATACATTTTTTAATTCGAAGAACATATAAGTCGTACTAGTTTAGGGGGCAATAAATTAACTACTTAAACAAAATATTTTTTTGGTAACAGAAGAGTAATGCGACTAGACTTAAATCGTTTTTTAATAATTAAATTAAAAACCCCTTTACCCTCCACTCCACTTGTCATGCGAATTCCAAAAACACTTTGCACTTTTAATTGATTTAAACAACCAAAATTGGCTAGTTAAGGTCAAAACGTGTGATTCAAACTATTCAATTAATTTATTTGTTTTTAACTCAAATTTTTCGACCAACTGCAATTACATGGTTTAGACAATGTAAAAACAGAGTCACCCACATTCAGACTGATATGAATCTTGTTGATGAACTCGCATATTGGCTAACAATGGGACACTCTCTTGGACTTTTATCTGCCATTTTCGGCTTGTGGCGACCTAGAGTCGTGCTCTTGATCTAAGTTTAGATATCATGTGTTGTGCTTTTTGCCAATCTCAGCAGCGCATCTTAAGTTACTATCATGTGGGCATGCTAGACCGCAAAACTGGGCTTATTAAGCTCCAGCCACCGCTTACCTCTACTTTTATCTGGAGGAGCAAAAAAAAACTAGCTCAGAGCTCCTGCGGCCGTTTCTATTCATTGTGCTTAATTTATACAGCGAAATGCATAAATGACAAAAGGACATTGTGCTGAATTTGTAATTCAAGTCTGGCTGTTAACAATGCCACCCCCTCACGGTCTTCAATTCTAGGGGACGGGGACTCCCCCCACCCCCACATGCAAAAGACGCAGACGGCGTTGTTCCTGACTGTGACAAAGACCAAAAAGAGAGAGAGAAGGTCCTGCCACGCCCCCCCTGTCGCCAGCGCCCACTTTAGTAGTCAAGGCGCGTAAAATTTTGAGGAGAACACTGAGAGAAGAGGAGGGCACTGAGAACTGAAAACTGAAAAGATGTGGGGGGGGATTCGTGTCGAGAGCCGAGTTTTCGCGTCGAGTGTTTGTGTGGTCTGCCTTATAAATTACCCGAAAAGGCGAGTGCAAGTCCTTGCCAAGGATCTTTTCGCCTATAATGCAAAAATATTCTTGTGCTCAACTTTTTAATCAGAGAAGCGAACTTGTTGGGTTCGTGGGAGTTGGCAAACAAGGAGGTTACGTGACCAACATTTTTTGTTTCTCCACTTTTCCCTCAGTTTGCATTTCTCTGATTGTTTTGCTATTTTTCTTATTATTTGCTTAACTTTCTGCCGCGGTTCCTTAGTTAAATTATGAATGATAAATGTGAGCGGAATACAGGATTTTATTTGGGTACAGTTGGGCACAAAGAGTGTTGGCAAATGCGGTTTACAACCGCATTTACAGCCTCAGTTTCATTGAGTGCTTAGCGTAATTATAGTCAACCGAAGGAATATCCACTTCAAGGATATACTCAGCAGGTCCCTCTAATTGAATCGGAGACTTAATTAATATGAGTAAGGCTTTTTGCTTTTCATGCCCAGGCCCCCCGCAACGACATCAAAAAGGATTTAATTAAATGAAATATCATACACTTCGTTTGGCTTTAAGCTAAGCAGAGGGGGAGGGGGAACCACAAGGGGAGTTGGGCCAAGGATATCGCTTCAAAGGGTCGCTTGTGTGCAAATCGATACACGCGAGCGTACATCAGAATTTTGACGAAACGCAATCAGCTTAGCTGCAGGCAAACCCACGGAACCACCCATCCGGAACCACTGGAACCGCCAGCCAATATCGCCACCGCCCGCGCGGCATGTGGTCCGGAGCTTAACAAGGATCCCCATCCTGTCCTGTGGGTTTCTTAAGCTGAAATCAAGAAGGATTACGGGGGTCGACTGGGAGGCAACACTTTGGGGGGCTGCCTGGCTGATGGGAATCGCCGAAGGCGACAGGCGAGATGGCGTCTAACAAATCTGTTTAATTTATCAGCGGCGTTTCATTATGTAATACACATTCTATGGAAATACCCCCCCACTGTGCTGCCTCAATTTCGCCTTTGCGCCTTGCTGTCTTGTCGAAGATAAACGCGAAAATTGTAGCTTCAAATTTAGCTTTTGGTAATTAGCGGTGGACAGAGAAAGTTTGGGGCGAATGGCATGTTAAATTGGAGAAACTTTGACGCTTCCTTATTTAGTATTCGAAAGTGAAATTTAAGATACACATTTATAATGATGTTTAAAGTGTATAAGTCTAACCTTTATTTCATCTAATAAAATATGTTTTTAAGTTCTTAATGCTATTAACATTTTATTTATAATAATAAATGACAAAATTCTTTAAACTTTACGTTTTTCTCGAAGAATAAATCCCCTTTCAATCTCCAAGTCTAATGTTCCTTGGCATCTCATAAATAACTCCAGTTTCATTGCCGTGCATCGCATTCCCAAATGTCCGATGAAAACGTTGATGAAAGATCTTTTAAAGTTTTTACGGTCTTTGGCAAAAAAAAAAAACAAACAAACCATCAGTCAGCGGAGGCCTTTGGCCTCGTCAGCAGTTGCAGCTCAAGAAGCAAGCAGACTGAGAACCATGATTTAAACACTCGCCAAGTGCCAGACGGCAAAGTCCAACTGGTGGCACTCACTCACTTGTTAAGCCTTAAGTCGGCTCACAGCCCCAGTCCCCAGTCCCTAGCCGCTCTGCTCCTCCTCATCCTGCTGCTCCTCACTTGACTTCACCCTTGCCCTCGTGCTCCGCTGGTGCTTGGATCCTTCGGTCTTTGGTCCTTAATCTTCGTCCTGTAAAGTTCACACAACTATTGTCACATGCGATACACCCACTCAATGGGTTACAAGCCCATTGAGTAGTTGAAGTTGGGGACAGAAAAGCAACAACGGCTAGAAAACAATATCTAGTAGTCAGAGTACACAGAGAAAAACTCTAGCATAAAAATTGGTAAAATGAAATTAACCACGTAAGTTATTACAAATTGTAGTATATAACTAATTTAATTGTTTTAATTTGTTTCACTCGTGTTTATCATGTTAAACTATACTAGCATTCAGATAGAATGAGATTAAGAAGTTTGATCCATTTACTTGGAAATTTGTTTTCAGGGATCAAATTCCCTAGTCTTAAAGTATTTTCCGTTTTCGGTGACTTTTGCTCTGCGTGTAAACTAGAGTTTGGCTTTTCCTTTTAGACCCCTTTAACGCTTTTTAGCCTTCAGGCGGATTCTGGCTTATCGATTAGATGCGCTCGGGCGATTTTGCGGAGTTTGAAACGCTAGTGGACTCAATCTCCTTTTCTGTTTGTCTCTGCCGGCTCCTGGTGCAGCTTAAAGGAAAGCTGGGGAAAACGCTGAAAATCGCTGGTTCTTTGCATACTCCCGCCACTTCCTTGCCTGATTGTCGCTGTCCTTGGCCACATGTTGATATATTGTCAACAGACGCACATCGCATTTGTCTCCGTCTTCCCTTGGCTTTTCCTATGTGGGTGGGGCCCGGCCTGGCTCGCCCCCGACTCCTGTATGCCCTTTTTTGATAAAGGTTGACAAGCGCTACACCCAGTCGTAGTCCCAGTCACAGTCACAGTCCCTCCTTCCACCGCCATTGAGGCCGTGCCGTGGCAGACATGAAAATCGATTATGAAAATCGTTTGTTCAACATTTTTCACGCAGATACGCAGCAGCAAAGGAGAAAAGCGGATGGGAAAAATGGGGAAAGTGCGGCGGACAGATCGAGAGCTTTTCAGTTGTCGCTGCCGCCTCGTAGATTTCTCATTTTTGCATTTGCATAAATATTTTAATAGAATTTTCGTTCCTAAAGCGGCTTTCACTATTTTGCAGCTGAGACTACTCCCACCCATCCCCTGTCGGTCATAAAGATTGATGTTTAATGCGGGGACCTGAAAAAAGGGACGAAAGGAATGAAATGAAATTGACTTATTCAAATAAGTGATTTACCACTTGACGACAACGAGGAACCCAAA